AGATGGCACTTTGCTGTCCAATTCATCCTGTGACAAGCCCAGGACTCACCTGCTGAAGTCACACAGGCCCAGGGATTTTCGCCTGCATGGCACACTGGAGCTCCTCAGCCTCCCTGTTTTATCAGATGGGGAAACATAAGCCTGGAGAGGGGCATGAACCCAAGACCATAAAGCAAGTAAGAGTACACTTCCGGGTTTCTGACATCCAGCCAAGCAACCTTCCCATTTGTATTGTCTGTTCCCTGTTTAAAAACTAACAGGGCTCCCTCTGGCCTCACAATCAAAACTTCCACGACCTTCCTTTCTCACATCAGTCCCAACCCATCCTGCTACACAAATGTTCTTCCTTGAAGTCATCCTCCTATCTGCCTCCAGCACGGCTCTTGTGGCTTTCCCCAGCCAGGACCTAGCAACCAGATAAATATCTCAAATAATATCTGTTGAATGAGAGAGTGAAGGAATGAATGAATGAATGTTCTCTCCTTAAAATCCTAATTCATTTCTTACTCCCTCTATGAAGCCCACTGAGATCTAAATCCGCTCTCACAGATTTCTCCTTTCCTTGTGTATTGGTGATAAAATTCAGTCTTCAACAGCTTCCTGTGTCTTAGCTTTCTGTCCCTAACTAGATTGTTCATTCTTCAGTATTCATGTATATAAAATTTAGCTCCCAGCCCTATGTTGAGAGTTCTATTTCTAGCTGTATAACTCGGTAGAGTCACTAACCTTTCTGAAGTTGTCTTCTCATCTTTAAAAACAGAAAGGATCCCTTGCCTGCCCATTCATAAGGTTGCTGTAGGTGAAGAAGCACTGGAAACTGAGGTGGTGTTATGACAGTAGGTGCAATAACTGTTGACTGATTAAAGAAGCCAAGAATCAACATTTATTGAAAACCTGCCAAGTTTCAAGTAGAAATTAACTGTCATAGGACCATTGTAGTTGAGAAATACAGTGCTGTTTTTGCCTATCCTGTGATTGTTAGCCTTTTTTCAAATATCAGCACCCCAACTCTTCTTTGGGGGAAATTGTGCCACTCTCAATCATGCATTTTGGGTAGGCTTCCCCTATGATATAAGTTCCCTTGGAGCTCCAAGGGAGGGCATGTTGCCTGTGCCTCAGCTAAGCCACATGTCCCATCCCTCTGGTTACAGTGAGTTCAGGAGCCTGTGTGCAATCCAACCCAGAGCCTAGGGATGTTTGTGGGGACCTTAGGGTTGAGGGTAGCTCCACTGTCTGGTCTCAGGACTGTGGGAGATGCAGGAGGATCCCATGAGGAGTGATCCTATCTCCTATCTGAGAATAAAGCCTATAAAGAAGCAGGACTGAGAGATAAAGGAAAGCCTAGTCTATATAATATCCATTAAAATCCTGGATGCAGCCATGCCTGAAATCATCCACTTACATGAATCTATAAATTCCTTCCCCCACCCTACCCTAAACAAATTTGAGTGGGATTTTATGTCACTTGCACACAAAAAGCCCTGATTAAGACAATACTTGAGACTAAGACAGTTTATTTTCTAATATAGTTTATTGGTTATGCTATTGTAGTTGTCCCATTCCCCCCCCTTCACTCCCCTTCACCCTGCATACCCCCTCCCATCCACATTCCCCTGCTTTAGTTAATGTTCATGTGTCACAATTACAAGTTCTTTGGCTTCTGCATTTCCCATACTATTCTTACCCTTCCCCTGTCTATTTTCTACCTAACATGCATGCTACTTATTCTCTGTACCTTTTCCCTCTCTCTCATCCTCCCACTCCCCTGTTGCTAAATCTCCATGTGATCTTCATTTCTGTGGTTCTGTTCCTGTTCTAGTTGTTTGCTTAGTTTGTTTTTGTTTTTGTTTTAGGTGTAGTTGTTAATAATTGTGAGTTTGCTGTCATTTTACTGTACATGTTTTTATCTTCTTTTTCTTAGATAAGTCCCTTTAACATTTCATATAACAGGGGCTTGGTGATGATGAACTCCGTAGGGAACCACTTCGTATGGCATGGAAATGCAGCTCAGCACTCAGGTGGAAAACCAGTGGGGATCAAATGGCACACAGGACCATGCCCATGGACAGGTTTTCCTGTGGGGAACCAGGCCTGCATTGTATCTAGACTGCTTTGAGACTTGCTTTTGCTAAAACTCCCTCACCCTGAATTGAGGCAGAAAGGACTTACTGCAACTTCCTAAAATCTGAGCTAAACCTCCCAAGTATGAAGTGCAACCAGTTCGACCACTTTTCTCCTTGGTCTGAAACATCCTTCTCTTTGAAGTAGTTAGCAACATTCTTTCCTCTTTTATCCATAAAAGGTAATCCCTGCAGTGAACCGGTACATAGTAAATGAGGACTACCTTCCATGTAATGTACTCAGAAAAGCAATAAAAGCCTGTCCAGGCAGGGACTGAGGCTCTCTGGCCCTCTGGCCCTCTCTCTCTCAGAGATTGGCCATGCCGTCCCTTTTTCTCCACAGGATTTCTGTTATCCATGTGTATTTGTTCTTTAGCAGCCACAACATACATGGATCCTGCCAGCCAGGATCCACCACAGAACTCCTTTAACTTGACCTTATCTGAGAAGCATTTTATTTGCCCTTCCATTCTAAATGGAAGCTCTGATGAACAGAGCAATCTTGGATGGCGGTCCTTGCTTTTCATGACTTGGAATACTTCTTCCCAGCCCCTTCTTGCCTGTAAGGTCTCTTTTGAGAAATAAGCTCAAACAGTCTGATGGGCACTCCTTTGTAGGTAACTCTCTTCTTATCTCTTGCTGGTTCTAGGGTTCTCTCCTCATCTTTAATCTTGGCTAATATAATTATGATATGCCTTGGTGTGCTCCTTCCTGGGTCCAACTTCTTTGGGACTCTCTGAGCTTCCTGGACTTCCTAGAAGTCTATTTCCTTTGCCAGATTGGGGAAGTTCTCCTTCATTATTTGTTCAGATAAGGTTTCACTTTGTTGCTCTTCCTCTTCTCCTTATGGCACCCCTATAATTTAGATATTGGAATATTTAAAGATGTCCTGGAGGTTCCCGAGCCTCTTTTTTTTTTTTTTTTAATTCTTGTTTCTTCATTCTTTTCTGGTTGGATCTTTCTTTCTTTCTTCTGGTCCTCTCCATTGATTTGAGTCCCAGTTTCCTTCCCATCACTATTTGGTTCCCTGTACATTTTCCTTTATTTCACTTAGTTAGATTTTTTCATCTAACTTGCAACCAAATTCAACCATTTTTGTGAGCATCCTGATCACCAGTGCTTTGAACTGTGCATCTGATAGGTTGGCTATCTCTTTGTCACTTAGTTGTATTTTTTTCTGGAGCTTTGATCTGTTCTTTCATTTGGGCCATTTTGTGTGTGTGTGTGTGTGTGTGTGTGTGTGTGTGTGTGTGTCTTGACGAGACTGTTACATAGTGAGGGGCAGAACCGTAGGTGTTTTCCAGAGCAGGGCAACCCAGTCACTGCTTGTGATGCTGTATGTGGGGAAGGGGTTTGAAAGGGAACAATGGCACTTACGCCATTCTCTGCCAGCTTTCAGTCACTTCTGCTGCTTCCCCCAAGCAAACTGGGCCCTTCTGGTGCTGATTACCATGTGGGTGGGTTTACGTACATTCTAGGACCCTTTGGGTCTCTCCAACGAACTCTCCTGTGAGGCTGGACTCCCAGCACCTCAACTCCCACAGGTGTTTTCAATTAGTGTTTTGAGGCTTTATTTCCCTGCACTGGGACCCTGGGTTGTGCAGTCTTTCCTGCTCCCCAGTTTTGCCTGGTTTATCTATGCACAAATTGGGACCACCTGGTTCCACAAGCCACCTTGCACACTGAGCCCCTCTACAATCCACTGCCTTGTGGGTCCGCCAGCCACCACTTCTTTTTTTTTGCTCTGACCCCTCTCTACTGGGCTGCCCAACTCCACCTCTCCTACTGGTCTGGTTGAATGTGTCTACTTCAACTCCTTGGTTTTCAGACTTCCATACAGTTCAATTTTCTGTCAGTACCGGTTGTTATTTTGTTTCTAAATTTTTATTGTCCTTATTTTGGTTGTGCGAGGAGGCACAGTATGCCTACCTATGCCTCCATCTTGGCTAGAAGTCCCCAGACAGCTAACTTTTCTATTTTAATTCACAGTTAAAAAAAAATCTTTTCCAGTACACAATTTCACTTAATGCTCAATAACCTTGAGATGTAGGTACTAGTGTTACTCTTTAATTTAGATGCAAAACCTGAAAACCAAATAATGATTTCTGAATCCCTTGGATAGAAGAAAAAGCCAGGATCTAAATAGACATCTCCTCCCTACTTCATTCTCTGTGTCACACTGGGTTGGCAGCTGAAGCGGGAAGGAGAATGCCTTTTGCTTTTTGCCTCTAATAGCCTGTAGCCTGATGGGCACCATTTGTTCATTCACGAGCACCTCTCATGTGCTAGGCTGAATGCACAACAATGAAAAAGGCTGTGTTGGTGGTTCCTGAGCTCACGGAGCTTATATTCTAGAGGAGGAGACAAACAGATAAATTGCAACGATAGGCGCTGCAGAACCATATACTAGGAAATAAGAGATCAGAGAAGGCACTTCTGAAACGTTAACATTAATTGAATGCATGAATAGCAACCCACTGAGATATCAAACTCGTATAGTTTTTGGTGGCCATTAGATTTTTTTAAGGTTCTGACACTGAATGCCCTTTGAACCTTTTGTTGCTGATGCAAAGCGCAGAGGCGAGGCATAAGAAAAAATTCTTTCAATCATTATTCTCCTGACCTTGCCTTGACTCTCACGGTCACCCACACCCCATGACTACGCCCGTTCTTCTTCCCGTTGCTTTCTGTCTGCGCAGGCGCAAAACAAACTGCCTGTCCTAGTGGAGGGCGCAGACCCCACCACCAACGCATGCGCCCCAGACCCCTACGCGGGCGCGCGAGCGCTTGCCGTTTCTTAGGGCGGGGCGGAGGGTGGGGACTGGACAGAGGGGCGCGCGCCAGTGTGCGCCTGCGTGCACGCGCGTGGGCGGGCCAGAGAAGCTGGAGGCCCGGGCACGTGATCCGGGGCTGGCTTCGTGGCTTGGTGGTTCGGTCTGTCTGTCGGTCCGCGGGTGCCATCATGGCGGACGCGGCCAGCCAGGTGCTCCTGGGCTCCGGTCTCACCATCTTGTCCCAGCCGCTCATGTACGTGAAGGTTCTCATCCAGGTATGAGTTGTCGCCATTCCCTTCCCCACTGGGCGCCGTCTGTGGTCGCCGCCCCAGCGCTTTGGCCTTCAGCCCCAGGAGATGCTGCTCCTTAGCTACCCTGTCTTTTCCCGCAGGGGCAACTTCCACCGCTCGCCGCCCTCCCGCTGCCTGCGGGCGTGCTCGAGTCTCGCCCCTCCGCCAAGCAGTGAGGCCCGCTCCATTCCCCGTAGCCAACTGCCGCCGAGCCCAGACCGGTGGCGCCTCTGAACTTTTTGTGTTCCCTGAGGTTGATGTTGGCTGGTCGCCGCCAAGAGCTTCCCAAACCTACTCTTTCGCCCCTCTGAAATTAGCGTTCACCTCCTTCCCCGCCTTAAACTCAAGACACGAAATCTGTTGAAACTTGGAATTAGAGGGGAACCAACATTTTATTACCATTATTTTTATTTATTTTATTTATTTATTTTGCTACTGTTACTGCTGCTATTCTGTCTGTTCCGAGATTTTAGCACCAGATACCCAGGTAAACACAGGAGCTCATTCAGAAATGATAATGAAGTGGTGGCCGAATCAAATTTCGGAAGGATCCCCTGGGTGCCCTCAACAACAGCAGCCCATGTGGCTCCTGACAGTGAAAATCACATCTGTCTGAGCTGGAAATCAGTTCAGCTGAGTTCTAGCTTGTTTAAGCATATATGTTAGTTTCTAATCTGCTGTAAAGTGATTCTTAAATGGCATTTTATAATGACAGGCAAGTAGGCCAGTTTTAGTGATAAACTGATAGGTAGTATATGCAGTTGTCTTTGTAAATTTCCCTGTGATGAGCAGGTCATTCATTTTTTAAACCTTTGTTGAGAGTTGACATAATTACATCATGCATTGCTCCAAGGAAGGGAGCGGCTTTTAGAAGCCCTCCTGTCCACACAAGCCACCTTTCTGTCAAAAACATGCAACACACTAGGGAGGGCCACATTTCTTATTCTTGAGTTGATGCTAATCCAAATTAAGTTATTTCAACCAAGAATAAAGACTTTGATTGAATTGAAAAGTATACTGTGTTGCCTAAACCAGAATTGGCACATTTGTAGCTACACAGTATCTGTGCGGGTAGCATGTTGTAGTGAAGCTGCTATGAGCCCATTGGTAAGTACTTTACCATAAGGTTCTCCAGTGGCAGTCAAAGCTCTTTTAAGTGTTTTCAAGTGTCTCAGGGGTTTCAGTGAAATTCCCGGATATGCAGTTGTTTGTTTTAGATTTTATTTATTTTTAGAGAGAGGAGAAGGGAGAGAAAAAGAGGGAGAGAAACATCATTGTGTGGTTGCTTCTCACATGCCCCCTACTGGGGGCCTAGCCCACAACCCAGGCATGTGCCCTGACTGGGAATCGAAGCAGCGATCCTTTGGTTCACAGGCCAGCACTCGATCCACTGAGTCACACCAGCCAGGGCCTCAGATACGCAGTTTTTAAAAACAATTGTACAGTGACACTTTCAGGGAGCTCAGTTGGTAGTTATTTCATTGAGCAGGTTAACAATCCGCACCCGAGCTCAAGCCATGCCCTACTGTGTTTTTATTCTCTCAGGTATCTCTTCAGTACTAAAAAGATGCAACTGTAGAAATAACATGATAGTAATTCTTAAAATCCCCTTTATTAGATTGTTAATGGCAGTCTGCTCTTTAACATAGTCTTAGTTTATAATTATTTCCCAAGTGAATTTTCCAGCTCTGCCTGCATTTGCCTGTTGAGTGTTTTATCTTACTAACCAGATATGAAGTTGATAGCTCAGTCTTCTCTTTTTGTCCAGCTGTATGAAATGTGCTAGATTTTCTTCAGAAAATATTGTTGAACCTCCTCAGTAAATATTTGCCTTCCTAACACAAAGTTCCCTTATTCTGTTTTCAGTTTGATGTTAGTCTGTCTCAGTTAAGTAGCTTACTTTATAGAATTTGAACCAAAAGAAAATCAGTCTTATCAGTTAACAAAAGAAAAACTGACAAGGATGATGCTTCATCGTTGCCTTGGAAAACATACACTGCATTTTAACTTGTGTTAAATATTAACCCTAATTTTGTTCTTAATTCAAGACCTTGCAACCAAGGCATTCATGGGAATATTGCTTAGTATTAATATATTCTCTTGTTTTGAAAGGTGGGATATGAACCTCTTCCTCCAACAGTAGGGCGAAATATTTTTGGGCGGCAAGTATGTCAGCTTCCTGGTCTCTTTTCTTATGGTAAGTGTCTTTGATTTATTTGGAATTGGGTGGCATTAAGGATCATGATGGGCAGGAGTTACTGAAAGAAAATATAGAGAGAACATGTTTTCTTGAAATATCTGTTACCATTTTCTTCAACTAGAATTTCAACCTTTGACTTGTTTTTTAGCTCAGTACATTGCCAGCATCGATGGGAAGCGTGGGTTGTTCACAGGCCTGACTCCAAGACTGTGCTCAGGAGTTCTGGGGACTGTGGTCCATGGCAAAGTTTTACAGGTAAAAAGAACATCAGATAATCCCCCTGCAGATTTAGATTATCTTTTTTTTTTTTTTTTTTAAGATTTTATTTCTAGAGAGAGGAGAAGGGAGTGAGAAAGAGAGGGAGAGAAGCATCAGTGTGTGGTTGCCTCTCACGTGGCCCCCACTGGCAACCTGGCCTACAACCCAGGCATGTGCCCTGACTGGGAATCAAACTGGCAACCCTTTGGTTTGCAGCCTGCACTCAATCCGTAGAGCTAAACCAGGCAGGGCTGGATGGTCTTTTATGTAGTTTGTTCTACTGATCACAAGCAACTACAAAGATATATTTATAACCATGGCCTTTCTTTATCTATGTAAACATTTACATGAAATACCCATTCTTAATTCTTTCCTGGGAAGCAAGGGGAATTTGTGCAAAATGAAGTAACTGATTTTGATATACACAGTCTTCTTCCTCTGAACTAGTTGTTCTGAGCAGACATTAAATACACTTATTTGATCTCCTTATAGTTTAGTTTATTTATGTGAAGGAGGAAGGGAGCTGATTGGAACATTATTTCTTTCCAAAGTTACTTTCTTCTCCTTTCTAGAGTTAACCTCTAGTAAAATGATTTCTGTTACAAATATATCTTAAACAACAACAAAAAGAGCAAGATCAACAAAAGTCAGGGTAGTGTTTACCTGTGGGGAGAGGGAGAGAAGGCGGCACCAGTGCATGGGGGTTCCAGGTACAGAAAGTTATGTTCCTTGACCCGGATGGTGAGTATGTGATATTTGCCTTCTCATTATTGATTGCATTGTGCATTTCTATTTTGTACACTGTTTTCATACCTGTGTTGTATCTGCATAAATTTGCAAGGTTTTTAAAAAAGATTTTACTTATTTATTTTTAGAGAGATGGGAAGGGAGGGAGAAAGAGAGAGAGAAACATCAAATCAATTGGTTGCCTTTCACATGCCCCCAACTGGGGCCCTGGCCCACAACCCAGGCATATGTTCTGACTGGGAATTGAACCAGTGACCTTTTGGTTCACAAGCCAGTACTCTGTCCACTGAGCCATACCAGCCAGGGATGAAAGTTGTGTGGTTTTTTTTAAACCTCACTAAAGTATACATGAACTGCAGGATAGTGGTTACTTTTGGGAAGGGGAAGTGAGGGTGGAATTTAGCTATATTTATGGCATTTTATTTTTAAAAAGCAAGAGATCTTAAGCAAAAAGGTAAAAATGTTTACATCTGTTTAACCTTGGTGGTAGATATGTAAGTGAATTGTTTTCTTAATTTTTCTGTGTGGTTGAAATACTTTATAATGTTTTTAAAAACATCAAAGTTACATTTCTTTTTTTAGAGATGTTTTTGTTTTACCAGCTTCTTTTAACTTCAAATGCTAAAACATAACTTTGATTGTAGTGGTTTTTCAGTTGCATCGATTACAATGTAGGTCAAACATCATTGCCTTTTGCTGCATTTATAAAGGTGCCATTTAGAACAGTCCATGGGAAGGTTCAGCATGAGTATGGTTGAGAATATAAAACTGATCGGGTTTCTTCATGCATTATTGTCTCCTACTGGCACCAATAGTGTTATCTTCTGTGTTATAAGTCAGAAACGTATATGCTAACCAAGTCTGTATAATATTTTCAACCTGTATAATATATCAGATGTGCTAAATTTCAAATGCTGACTAGCTGCTTATTCAGTTAGTACTCAGCACGACCTCCTTGTACTTTTTTAGGTTTTAACAGTTGCCCCAGTTCTAATACTTCATCATCTGATGAGCAAATCATGATCTTGCTAAATAGTTGCATGATTTGCATGGCTTAGGTTCATAAGTGCTTTTCAGCCTTCATTGGTGTGAACTGGAGAGGTTTTTCAGTTCGTTCCTCACACAGAAATTGTTTCACCCTTCAGTTCTTTTTTTTTTTTTTTAATAATTTTGGACAGTTTCCATTGCTGTGTCTTTTTTTTTCTTTTTAAAGATTTTATTTGTTTATTTTTAGAGAGGAGAAGGGAAGGAGAAAGAGAAAGAAAAACATCAGTGTGTGGTTGCCTCTTGCGCGCTCCCTGTGGGGAGCCTGGCCTGCAACCCAGGCACGTGCCCTGACTGGGAATTGAACCACGACCCTTTGGTTCACAGCCTGAGCTCAATCCACTGAGCTACACCAGCCAGGGCTCTTTCCTTTTTAAAAAATTTTTATTTATTTATTTTTAGAGAGAAGGGAAGAGATAGAGAAACATCAGTCAGTTGCCCCTTATATGTACCCAGACTGGGGACCGAACCTGCAACTCAGGCACATGCCCTGACCGGAAATCAGACTGGTGGCCTTTGGCTTTGAGGAGTGAAGCCCAATCACTGAGCCACACTGGTCAGGGCTCTTGACCCTGAAATTTAAAAACCTAATTCTTTTTACAAAAGAAAGTGATTCTACTTTTTTAATCTGGTGTCACTAAGAACTTCATTGTCTGGTTCTTTCACTGTACCTAGCCTCTCTGTTGTTCTAAAATACCCGAGATACAACATTTCCCCTTTCAGTGTAGCCCGCGCTCCAGTAGTATTCCTGTTCTCCTCTCTGACACAGGGGAAATCTCTTACTTGTTGTGGAAACATACAAAAGACCAAGTGTGGCGATCCCAGCTATTCAGACTTAGCCCTGATTCTCTGTTCTTTTGTGCAGTGAAGGAAAGAGCCTCGCCCTGATTTGGTGTTGGTCCTACTTTTGCCGTAGAAAAGCTGTGAGGTTTTTTCCATCGCCTTAGTGCTAGGCTATGTTTTTACTGATTTGTTTTTCTATTAAATGTATGTTTAGTAGGTGACATTCTTGGATATTTGCTTTCCTTTTTCTTGTAGATGAGAGTTCTCGTGAGCATTTGCTCATCCCTTCAGCTGACCAGTATGTTAAACTTAACAACAGAATCATCTTAGAGATACTTACTTAAAATTAACTAATTAGAAGATAATTGGAGATTTACAGCAAAAATAAAATCAATCAGCTTTTAACAACAGAGTTTTTATCTGATGTCTTCTCTCAGTGACACTGTGATAGCCCTAATCATCCCTTCTTTTCCTTTCTCTTCCATGGCAGCATTACCAGGACAGTGACAAGGTTGAGGTAGGTCGGAGCTGATTTGCATGCATGGGCCCCTTTCCCTGGCAGGTTGCCCTTGGCCCTCTTTAGGAGAAGGGACAGGCAATCAGTTTCCCTCTCACTTCAGTGAGTGTTGACATACAGGGTGGTTCCTGTTTGAACCTGTTTGAGCTCTATTTAAAACCATCAAGATATCTGTCTCCTTTTATTTGATTTCCAGGAGTTAGGTCCTGGAAATGTACAGAAAGAAGTATCCTCTTCCTTTGACCGAGTTATCAAGGAGGTAAGAAATGTTCTGTCCTGTGCTGTTTTCCTAAATCAGAGGGTGTGCAATGTGGTGGTGGTAGAATCGGGATCGTCAGGGCCTGTGTGTGCAGTTTCTGTTTGAAATGAAATTAAACCTTCAGTGTACCTGGGGCTTTCCTGTATGTATAACATAAAAAAGAGGGAGTGGAAAAGCTTTGCTTGCTATTTGGAATAGATGCATTTCAAGGAAACCCATTTTGCCCACTCATTTCATTTCTCTTTTTATAGATTTTATTTATTTTTTTAGAGAGAGGGAAGGGAGGGTAAACGAGAGGGAGAAGAACATCAGTTGGTTGCCTTTTGTACGTGCCATCTTCCAGAGACCAAAGCCACAGCCCCAGGCACGTGCCCGGACCAGGAATCAGACGGGTAGCCTTTCGCTTTGTGAGACAACACCCAGCCAACTCAGCCACACCAGTCAGGGCTCATTTGATCTTTAAAATTGAAGCAGTTGCTACTGAAAGTCTTCTGGTAGAGTAGAAATCCTCTGGTACAGAAGTGTTAAAGTAGTAGCCAGACCCCTTGTGTTTAGGTATTATGTACCCAGAAGTGCTTTTAGGACATTATTCTGGCTTTGGAATATTCCTCATTACCCATTTCTCACTCCCGTATCCTGCCATTGGAGTTTGTTTTGTTTCTGATACTCACTTACTTAAGTACTAGTTACTTACTTATTTATCATTCCTGATACTTAAAAGCCATTGGTGGCTTTTAGAACTACTTTTATTCCTTAGTCTTTACCTTGTCTAATTGTCTTTAGTGACTTCATAATTTTCTATCAAATGCTGTCATCTAAAATATATATTCTAAAACAAACCTTAGATGAATCAACTTGGTTTTCTATAAATTTTTATGAAGTGAATTTATTTAAAAGTAAATGTATTAATCGACATTTTGTATTTTTTTAAAGATTTTATTTATTTTTAGACGGAGGGGAAGGGTGGAGGAAAGAGAAGAAGAGAGTATCAATGTGTGGTTGCCCTTTGCATGGTTGCCCTTTGCACGCCCTCTTCCCGAGACCTGGCCCACAACCCAGGCACGTGCCCTGACTGGATCAAACCAGCGACCCCATGGTTTGCAGGCCAGCACTCAGTCCACTGAGCCACACCAGCCAGGGCTGTTTTCTTAACTTCAGTTAGCCCATCCAGTACCATAGAGTATTTTCAGAACGACTGCTGGAAGAGGAGTGAGGAATGTCTTAACAGAGTGATTGAAGATAATGTGTAAATGCAAGAAAGAATGATAGACCTACTCTGTTTACAACTCCCTCCAAGTATTGTAATTTAATTTTCTTTACTACCTTTTTATGGAGTCCTGTAGAGAGAAGGATAAATACAGCTGCTCTGAGATCACTGCAGGGCTGTAGGGTTGTGTTCCAAACACAAGTCAAAGTCCTCTCCTCACAGAGGTGTCGGTGCAGGTTCAAGTGAGTCTGACGTTTGTCTAGCACCCATTTCAGAGCCTCTGAGGTCACTCACAATGCGAGAGCAACTCCATAATCTGACTCTAGGCCTCACGGTTTTATTCCAGCTCAGTGACTTTGCTGGTGACCCTCCCTGTTTCTTTGCATTTGTTTTTCTTACCTATAAAATTGAGAAGATAACAAATCTTTACAAAGAAATTTTAGGAAGTAACACTAACAGCAGTGAAATCCATGAGTGACAAGTATGGTAGAATGACAGTGTGTCTGTTGTACACCTTCGGGCTACTTCCTCTTCCTGGCTCCGGGCCGGGTGCTGTCGCTCACTTCCTTACTCCCCAGCACCCACCCTCCTTCCTTCTCCAGGGATCTGGGTGTCATTTATTTAGATCTCAGAAGTGTGTGTTGATTGTTTCTAGACAACACGAGAGATGATGGCTCGTTCTGCTGCTACCCTCATCACACATCCCTTCCACGGTACGTGAGCAGTTGGTGACTGAAATGCGATTCCTTATCATACTTTTGTCACACGGCCCCTCCCGGCAGCTGGGACGGTTGACTTGGGGGTTCCGTGAAGTGCCTTGCCTGTGTGTTTTTGTTTGCTTACATGTTTTGGCTATTATCCAGTTTATTCACATAGCAAAGTGTCTTTTGAGTTAGAAAAAAACCTTTTTATTTATTGTTTTAGGTCAATCAAAATTTATCCGATGTAGTTTTAAAACTTCTTCTCTCCGTGTTCTGTAGTGATCACTCTGAGATCCATGGTACAGTTCATTGGCAGAGAATCCAAGTACTGGTAAGTGTCTCTGTTTTCTAGTGTTCAAGATCCATTGAAGCCAAAGTATTAAAATTATAGTGCTTTACATTGTTATGTTACCTTAGAGTTTACAGAACAAATTCATATATCATTTGATCTGCACAAAAACCAGTAAATAGAAGAAAATCACCTAGGCAGGTTTAGGAACCTACCTGGGGTGTCGAAATGAGTTACAGAGCCACTGATGCCAGAATTCACACTGACTCCATGTGATTACACCCTTAGGTAGTAGTGTCTCCACTTCTGTGTCCAAATTCCACTGTCTTTGCAGGGTGAGGGTGGTAGAGGGGTGGGGGGAATGTAGATTTGACCTTGTCAAAAGTGATAATGGAACTTTTTTTTTAATAGCTTCAAAATAATCTTAGCGTATTTTACCTTTCCTTCCTCTGTACCTAGTGGACTTTGTGACTCCATAGTAACCATCTATCGGGAAGAGGGCATGCTGGGATTTTTTGCGTGAGTAAATTGCAATTTGTGGGTGTGATTTTTGTAAGTGGAGAGCTTTAATGAAAATAAGGCATGACTTTTTATTTAATCCTTGAGGAAAATGTACTTTCTGGGTTTACTTCATGTTAAGCCCTATTTAGACCCAGCTGGCTCAGATCCCAGACTTTTGCTTCTGGTTATCTAAAACATTTGAAATGAGAGTTTTGTTTGTTTTTCTAACAAATGAACTCATTCCAAGTTTCTACCCTTATAGTAAGTTTCCAATATGTACCATTGATACAATAAGGAAAATTAATTTTTGAAGAAGGGAGAAATCATCCAACATGTAGCTTCCTTATCCTGAGAGAATATGTTTTTGTAAGTCTGTATAGAGTCCTTGGGATCTACTTTGGAAGTATTTAATGCTACCCTCGTTTTTTAATAGTGATAAAAACTTCATTATTAAGTAAATGATCCTTTTTATTTTTTGAGTGTTTCTACATAATTGGTTTTATTCATGCATGATAAATACTCTGGAAGATGGGCAGAACAGCCATTTGTTGTTCTTATTTTGCTATATTTTATTTATTTATTTTTTAAAGATTTTATTTATTTATCTTTAGAGGGGAAGGGAAGGAGAGAGGGAGAGAAACATCAATGTATGGTTGCCTCTTGTGCATCCCCTGCCAGGAACTGGCCTGCAACCCAGGCATGTGCCCTGACTGGGCATCGAATCTCCATCCTGTGGTTTGCAGGCCCGCGCTCAGTCCACTGAGCTACACCAGCCAGGGCCGTTGTTCTCATTTTAGAGATTAAAAAATACAGATGCCCTGGGAGGTTCATTTGCTGCTGATTATAGAGCCAGTAAGGGACAGAAGTGGCATTTGATCCCTGGTGTTCTGTCTGGGGGGTAGTGTCTGCCCCGCTGCCCTGTGCTGCCTCACCCAGATCGTCGTGACTCCCGAAACGGGTTTTGTGTCCCTCGCCCATACGCAGGTTTGGGCCGTTCCCATTCTGTCGTTTGTCTCACCCTTGCCCTGCCAAGTTTGAATGTCAACTGCAGTGTAGTGAAAGCCATATTGAAGCCTCTTCTCCAAAGTGGGAATATTTGGGGCCTCCCTGCTTATGGTTGGTTATTAATGGTAAGGTGAGCCATTGGCCGTAGCTTAGCAGTAGAGCTGACCTGCATTTTAAAAAGATTGGAATCATTAGAGATAACCCTCAAGTACAGTTGTAGCCACTAGAACAAACTAGTTATGAGGGCTGGCTTCTGGTATTCAATGTCTTTTCAGTGTTCTGGAATGTTTTGAAAGCTCTCATTTTTGGGGAAGTACTTGTATGGAGTGGATTAACTTTCTACTGATCACATTTCTTCATTCTTACTTTTATTGTTTCTTCATGTAGGGGTCTTATTCCTCGCCTCCTCGGTGACATCATTTCTTTGTGGCTCTGTAACTCACTGGCCTACCTCGTCAATACCTATGCACTGGACAGCGGGGTAGGTCGGGGCCCGGGTGAGGTGTGCGGCTGCCGACCTGGCAGCACCGTTAGCTTTAAAGTAAGATGACAGTTCGTTACGCACCTCACTGCAGAGGTGAACATCAGTCAAGGTTTCTAACACTAATGGGACAGCCTGTACCATCTGCCGCACAGAGATGCACCTGAAGAGCCCTAGGGTGCAGCGCAGTCGGCCCAGGAGAGCTGTCTCGGCCTGTGTGCTGCACGGGGGTCACCTCTTTGTCGGCACCTACCCCAAGAGGACACCAGGAAGCAGGGCAGTTGTGTTTCGTGTCATCTGAAGTGTTCAGGGGCCCCCTCTCTTGGGCTTTCTAGGGCCTCTGAACACAAGCAGCCCCACAGCGTGGTGGGAATAGAACTCACCCAGGAGTAGGACGGACTGTGTTGTAAGCTTTTTGAGTGGACAGCTGAGAGCGCAGGGAGGTAGTGACTTGTCTCTCGGGTGTACTGTGAACGTAGTATCTGAGGATTGTATTTCCAGGACATGGGACTAGGTTACCAATCTCATCCCGTGTTGAAATCCTGAAGCCGTTACATTTGTTCCTAAGCCATCTTAAAAATTCATTTACTGTGGATTTGCTCATATTCAGTCAGGTTGATCATTTGGACTACTGCCTTTTTATGCTCATAATTAGCATTTTATGTCTTCACCCTCAAAGTTAAATTTCAAGCTATCAAAGAACTAATAATTTAGAGATAGAATGTATTGAAATGTTTGGGAACAGTTAACTGTTAATATCAGCTTACTATTTTTACTCATTCTAATACAGGTTTTCTTCTTTTCTAGGTGTCCACCATGAATGAAATGAAAAGTTATTCCCAAGCTGTCACAGGAGTGAGTTTTTTTAAAAATCCTTTTGACCTTCTAGGAATTGTTTTGTTTTGTTTTAAATTTGGCCTGTATCATCACTGCTTTAAACACCCAGGTGTTTCACAGGAAACTTAGATTTGTTCCTGTTTGTCAGAGGTGAGAGTCACCAACCCAGAGTCTGTGCGGCACAGCAGTGGTGATAACGAGCCCAGGTGGTGTGCCGCTCGGCTTTCTCCGTGGAGCACCGTCTCTGGTTCTCAGGCCCGTCTCTCCCTGCGGCCCACGGGCCTGCCGCAGAGAACCTCACACTCTGGAGGCACCGAGTGCTCCAGCACTTGACCTTGGAAGGTGTTTTCCATTGTCTTTGGAAGGGTGCTTATGTTTTCTTACTTTCTTCAGGGCTGTTTTGAAATTATATTTAGTTACATTGCTTTTTCTCTTAAATATTGTAGTCCAGTTTTATTTGAGGATTCAATCACAGAATACGAGAAGTCTTCCGGCCTTTAGTTAACATGTTAGCAGTGTAGTGGTGTATGAAGAGAAGGCAGCATCTCCAGGCTCAGAAATGTATTTGGTCTTTCCTGGGATTCTGAGAAAGCAAAACCAGTGCCAGAGGGTTGGACCACAGTGGCACCAGGCGGTGAGGGAGAAGAGAGGGTGGAGCAAAGCAGACTGGGAATGACCTGGTAACCTGGCTGCCTTTTTACCCTTTTACAGTTTTTTGCCAGCATGTTGACCTATCCCTTTGTGCTCGTCTCCAATCTCATGGCTGTCAACAATTGTGGGTAAGTGCTTTGCGTCCTCAGCCTGGTAGTGTCTGCCCGAATGCCTGACAGTCAGGGCAGTCCTGGTGGAAGTGGGGGGCCCGAAGTGCAGTTGATGCTGTTGCTGGATTTCTTTCCTCTTTTCTTCTCTGTGTGCCTGAGGGACCAGCAGTGGTATTAATTATGTCGTAAGCAGCCACCTCATTTCCTTCTTTCTTTCTTTTTTTAAATATTTACTTTAGAAAGAGGAGAAGGTAGGGAGAAAAAGAGGGAGAAAAACATCAGCGTTCAAGAGATACAAGATCAGTTGCTTCTTGTGCGCCCCCAACTGGGGACCTGGCCCACAACCCAGGCCTGTGCCCTGACTGGGAATCAAACCGGTGACTGTTTGGTTCGCAGGCCGGTGCTCCGTCCACTGAGTTACACCAGCCAGGGCTCATTTCGGTTTTTGATTTTTGCTTTTTTTTTTAAAGGCTTTATTTATTTTTAGAGAGGGGAAGGGAGAGAGAATGAGAGGGAGAGAAACATCAATGCGTGGTTGCCTTTTGCATGCCCCCCAGTGGGAACCTGGCCTGCAATCCAGGCATGTGCCCTCACTGGGAATCAAACCAACGGCCTGTTGGTTTGAAGACTGGCACTCAATCCACTGAGCCATCCCAGCCAGAGCTCATACCGTTTTTTGGAATAGGGAAAGGCATGAATAATATTTGTCAAGTTCTTATATATTCTTGCCAATATAGGTCCTATTCCGAAAAGGGCAGGATAATTATCAAATTATTCTATTTTTACATTTTTCCTTTATTTTAAATCTCTCCTCTCTTTTTCTTGAAAGTTACAAAGGAGCCCTGCCGGGTAGTTCAATTGGTTAGAGTGTTATCATGATATACATATAAGGGCACATGTAAGAATCAGCCAAGGCCCTGGCTGATGTAGCTCAGTGGACTGAGTGAGGCCTGTGAAGCGGTTTCATTCTCAGTCAGGGCACATGCCAGGGTTGCAGGCCGGTCCCCAGCAGGGGACGCACAAGAAGCAACCACACATTGGTATTTCTCTCCCTCTCTCCTTCCCTTCCCCTCTGAAGATAAATAAATAAAATCTAAAATAAAAAAGAATCCACCAAGGAGTACATAAATGAGTGGAAGAACAGATCGATGTCCGTTTCTCTCCCTCCCTCTCCTTCCTCCCTCTATCCCTGTCCCCTTCTCCTCTCTCTAAAAACAGTGAAATAAAAAGTTACAAAAGGTATTTTCAGGGATTGAACAACAACCTACACCTGTTTTTCCCAGGGGGTTCATGGAGGAAGTTTTAAAGAAAGGAAAATAGGAAGTTAATCCATAGTTTCTTAACTTATCACTCTATTGGGCGGGAAGGGTGGGTGGAGGTGTGATGATGGACCCCACTGAGTTCCAGCCACCAGATGCCAAGTGACCATTCGGAACTGGACAGGCTTCTCCCCGCTATTCGATTCAGGAAAACTCTGTCCCCGTGCAGTCCCCGATGCAGCGTACCGTCAGGCACGCGGCGCTGTTTCCAAACGATGCCGGATGGGACGCTGGGTGGAGTTTCGAGGGCAGCTGTCATGTTTCACATCGTGCTGCACTGTCTGTTTAGTGAGTGGCAGAGCAGCTGCCGTGTTTTCGCCCAGAGCATGCTTGAAGGATGAGTTAACCACAGTATGATTTCTGACGGCTTTTGGAGAGGAAGTGATTGTCCCTGAGTAACAGCAAGTAGTCACCACTCTTTCTATCCATTGTTACGTTTAGGTTCTTTTAAACACCATGTCATTTTAAAATCCCCTTTTTCTACTCTGCAGTCATGTAAGTGCTGTGTTCTAGAATTTCATGTGCCCACAAATTAAAAACCTAGGCGTTTTAGAAAATACGTAACTGATTGAAGGTTTTGTTTATTCATTGATTCAAAATCAAAAATATAAGGAAGGGAATTTGTTAGAACTCAGTTGCCTCTTGCGGAAACGTCGAGGCAGAAGAATGTTTTTCTTTGCGCGGGGGGTTGTTTTTTTTTAAAGATTTTATTCATTTATCTTTAGAGGGGAAGGAAGGGAGAGAGGGAGAGAAATATCCATGTATGGTTACCTCTCGTGTGTCCCTCACTGGGAACCGGCCTGCAACCCAGGCATGTGCCCCAACTGGGAATCGAACCTTGACCATCAGGTTTGCAGACCCACACTCAATCCACTGAGCTACACCAGCCAGGGCTAAGAATGTTTTGACAGAGATTTACTGACCTCTTGAGAGAGTGTTTTGTGCGCATTGACTTGAATGGCTCATCTTCTGTTCTGTTTCAGGCTTGCTGGTGGGTGCCCTCCTTACTCCCCAGTGTACAATTCTTGGATAGATTGCTGGTGCATGCTGCAAAAAGAGGTACTTCTGTCATTGTCTCTCCTGCTTTTGCCCCACCCCCAAGTGTGTCTTACTCTTTTGTTTTTGCTCATTTTTCAAAAAAAAGTCACTGGAACCTGAGGTTAATTCTTGTAGCTTAGCTTTTAGCTGCCAGTTGCTGTGCCCTGCACAGTGTTCTGTGTGTCGCCCTGGCACATGCTAAAGTGCTGCTTGGAGATCATCAGGAGGGGTGATGAAGAAGTAGGATCCCTAGGTGAGATCCAGAACCCGCTGAGTGATCGTGCTCAAGTCACAGAGGCTCTGGGGAAATAGTTATCCTGGTTGTTCAAAGGATGGCCTTGGTTTCAGATTTTTGTTTCTCAGCCTCGCCTTTTGGTAACTTCTCAGACTCTCCTTACATATTCAGGTGCTCTCCTACAGTGTAGTGGAGAGGAACCGGAGAGAGAAGTTATTTGTATTATTTGTTCATAATGACGTCGTTAGAGCTGGTCTCTGCTAGAGTCTTGTTAGTGCATGATTTGGTGCAGACTCCAGTTTATTGTTTGCTATTGCTGTGAGATACAAGCTTTATTAGGAGACAAAACAATGGCCGTGTGGTAAATTTAACACAGGATTGGCCATCAGTTTAAAGCTGTTTGTGAGTGGGACGCAGTTTTCCTGGGACTGCAGAACAAACTGTGTGAGAAGCCCTTTGTTGTAGTACCTTGTAGCACTGGTGATACATATGAGAAAGGTGCTAGTGCGCAGAGCTCAGGCCTCCCCAGCCTGAAGTCAAATGAAAAGACCCAGGTGCGTCCATGGTCGCTTTGGCTCAGTGTGGGTGCCCAGCAAGACCCTCTGAATCCACACTAGAACTCTTGAGTGATTTTCATACAGACCTAACGTGAACACTCTGGGTTTTAGTCTGAGTCTTACACTCTCCTACTGTTACCCCAATTTAAAAGGAAAGATGGCCCCTCTTTCCCTACCTTCTAACTAACCCCCTTCTATAGTAAGAAAGCAGGTAGAAAATGTATTAGGGTATGAGACACCTTACCTAGGGAACATTTGGTCCTGTAAGTGCCTAATGCAGCAGTAGATCTTGGCTAGAAGTTTACTGCATGTCTCAGGCGTCGTGCTGAGAGCTTTCCACCTGTCAGCCCGTAATCGTGGCCATAGGAGATAGGCACCATTTTTTATTACCCCACTTCTCATAGGAGGAAGCGGGCTTTGAACAGTCAAGTGACACTAGTTACATTACCCAGTGTTGCACAGCCTGTGTTTGGAAGAGCGGGTCTGCGTGCAGGCACTCTAACTGCAGTCTCCTCAGTTACGCTCACTCACCAGTACTTTCACTGTGAGGGTTTTTAAGTGCCCCCTAACCACCAGGCTGTTCCATTAAAAGTAAGTAAAAGCTAGCCCTTCTGAAGGTTAGGACTGTTCGCAGCACTTGATACATATTGACCCATTTGATAGCCCAGCTAGCAAGTGGCAGAGCCAGAATCCAAACCAGGCATCTCTGAATGAGAGAGTAACTTTTGCCTCACCCGTGTGGCAAGAGGTGAGTTGGAGGGTACAAATGGCTGCCCTGCAGTGCCGGCCCCGGTTTTGTCCTGCTCTGTAGTTACGTCCCCAGAAGTGTTCAGTGGGACCCCTGCTAATTGGACTGGGTGACCTCATTTCACACTAGATTTTATTTGTGTTTTTTTTTTCCAGGGAAATATGAGCCGAGGAAATAGCTTGTTTTTCCGGAAGGTCCCCTTTGGGAAGACTTATTGTTGTGACCTGAGAATGTTAATTTGAAGATGTGGGACAGGGACAGTGACATTTCTATAGTCCCAGATGCACAGAATTATGGGAGAGAATGTTGATTTCTATACAGTGTGGCGCGCTTTTTAAATAATCATTTAATCTTGGGAAAATGGAGATGTTTGGTGTCTGCCTTTTTTATTCTGTTTCCCAGCACAGCATAACTTACCACTAATACTCCCTCTTTAGTTACTCTAAAGTGGGACGTTTTTGCTCCAGACCTCTCATTTTACTTACACAGAAGGAAAAATTTGCATTTTCTTAAAGATTGTCATGTGATTCAAGTCTTACTTAATTCAAAGCTTTGTAAAATGAAGAGTACAATCCCAAGAAGAGAAATAATCCCATGAAACTTAAGAAAATTAGTAAGGCCAACTATGTGGGAGGCCGCGACCCTAACAACTCAGCAGCATCCACCAGAACTTGCCTCCTTCCCGTTGTGTGCTTCTAAGCATGTTTGACGAACCTGTCTTGTGTGTCGTGAAAAGGACAATACATTGCTAAATTACCCTAGGAAATGGCTACATGAGGCATACACATCTTCCATCTATTATTGCAAAGTGATAAATTGTTGCCAACAGCAGAAAAAAAGACAATGAGACAATGATAGAGAATAGGCAAGATTTGGAAAGAAAGTATAATGGCTTCCCCCCCCCCAAAGGGATTCTTGCCATTTAAAATATGAAAAGCAAATACTGTAGCACCAGCCCCTTCTCTAAAAGCTACATATTTGCCTGTCCCTAAATGACATCTTTACACAGTTCTAATTGTATATACTCCAGTTTTGGTTTTGTTTTCTCAGTTGTTGCAGAAGGTGAGTAGTTCGGTTTTCCTTCCTTCTGACACCCTTGGAAAGTGTCCTTGTGACTTCCTGTCAGGTGGTGCAGTCCACAGGGTCCTTTAGAAGGAAATGAATTTCAGCTCAAGCATAAAGCTTCTATTTACTCAGGACTTTTAAAAGCAGGTAAAATGCTCTAAGACAAGAACGCATATGGTTTCAGGTATTTAAGTAATCCACTAGAATGTTGCCAAATGAGTAAGCACTTAATTTGCTGCTTCTCAGACCTCTCTAGCAAAGCAGCAGCCCCCACCATGAGAGCGAGCATGCAGGGGCCTCCTTCCTCCTCCAGGGTTTAGCAATACAGCCTGAAGCTCATGGATAGCTTACCTGGAAATGTCTCTGATGTCTCTTACTTTGTCTCCAAAAGTAATGTAAATTTTATATTCTATTCAATATTATATGCATTTGTTTAATATAAAATGTTTTGCATTACCCGTCTTACCTCTCCCCCCAAGAAAATCTTCAAGTAAAGATGATCTAGGAAAACCTGCCATGTTCATTATCCTGTGGCTTTTGTGCTTTTACCCGCCTGCCTATTCCTAGTTGAGTCTGATTGCAAGAACTGGTCTACCACCAGAGGGCGCCAAGGCTTTGTTTTTGTGTTGCGGGGGGTGGGAGGTTTTTGTGTTTGTGTTTTTGTTTTTGCCTATGCAAGTTGCGCTACTAAGAAATTTCACCAACGCCTGGAATTGTTCAAAGTACTGGTCAAATCACCCTAACTGCAACCACGTGATAGGCCCAGTAAGAGTATTATACCTGTGTTTCTCCGTAAAATCTTATAACTCATCAATGTAATGAAAAGTCAGCTTTATTCAGGGGCTAGTAAATTCAGGTAAGACACACATGTAAGAATAGTGAACCTGTATATGTAAATAACAAAGCTAAGGACCGTGTAGTAAACTGCACCTGTGAAACTGGGCACGGGGTTCACCTTGGCCGCGCTGAGCTCAGTGCCAGGAAGCACCTTCCCGGGGAGTGTGGTGGTCCTTGGAGCCTGGCCTGAAGAACCCGGGGCTTCCTGGAACTTTTAGGGTGGTCGTGAAAGTACCAGGGTACAAAAGTAACTTTAGGATGAAATAAACTCTAAACATAACCCTGCATCTCATCTTATTCCTATGACTGAAACATACCTTGGCTTTGCAATAATCTACTTTAGAAATGTTCTCTTTTCCTTCTCCCCATTGAGCTTTTTCCTACCCGGTAAGATTCAGTTCTGGGCCATCTCTTTTTTAAAATAAGTTTTTTATTCATAATCCTTCCAAATGGAGATCTCTGCCTTAAAACTCCTCCCTTCTTCAAGACTTTGTAACTATAGTATAATACAGTCTGAACTGACGAAATGGAACCTGCACCCCAAAACAAGTCCAAGGCTTACACAGCAATGGCATTACTTCTCTCTGATTTGAAAACCTTTAAAAACATTTACATTTAGCATTTTTAAACAGGCCCATTAAAACACTGGCTTCACAGAGAAATTGGCTGGTCAAGCAGCAGTGCAGGTGGTCCAGGGTGCGGTGGCAAGCGAGGGAGCGAGGAGAGGCCAGCACGGGAAGGGGTGCCTGCCACGCCTGTCGTGGGAGCTCCATTCTCGCGGTCTTCCCCCTTCAGAAATAAAAGTGAGACTCAGGTTCAGTTATTCATTCACAATCGTGCAGCGCGTTTCAGAGCTGGAGTCAAACCTGAGTTCCCGATTGAAAGGCGTATTTACTGCTTCATGGAGGGTATGACATGCTGAGGGGGGAAAGTAGCCAGTGAACCAGATGGTCGGTCAGCCATCCAAGGAAAAAGGCCACGCGTTCCAGTCAAAGCAGCGAACCAAAGAATAGGCCTCCCACAGGGCGAGGGGTAGAACAGTCTTAAGTCAGGAACCTAGTTCTCGCCTCTGCAGAATGGGAAGTAGGTAAAGAAACTGAAACTCGGCGTGGTCACCACGCTGGTCTAGCCTATTAAGACTGCAGCCGGGGAGCGGAGTTACTGTGCAGTAAGGACCTACTCCTAGGAGTCGAGGCAGTCCGTTTTATTTGGGTTTCTGCTACATTTGGGACTCCAGGGGATTTTCCTAGGATGCCCTTGCGTATTGGATGGGCTCATCCAGGCTGCCTTCTCAAGGGCCTTAGTAATTTCTTGGGGTTGTCTTGTTTGTTTTTTAAATATAGATAAAGACAGGTGTTTTACCTCCTCCGCAGAACATTTAGGCTTACCTGAGGATGTCACATATGACATCTCACCCCCCCTCCCTCTCCCGCCCTGTTGAGCCCCTATCTTACTGTCTCCTCAGACTTGAGAGAGTCAATCTTGCAATCTGATTTTTGTCTTAGGGGCCAAGTTGCAAATTAAAGGTGTTTTTTGCCACCAGGCCCTTCTTTTCAGGAGGACGTCTGATAACACTGCTTCATTTTCTGAAGCAACTGAGAGCGTTTTACTTCTCAACAAATTTTTGTCCCTATAAGTCAGCTTCCTCATCTGTTTGCCACCTGAAGAGATGTCTTGGGGAGCCCCGTCCCCAACACACTGCGCTCGTCAGCCATGGGATGGAATCTTGAAAAGCCCAGTTTGCATTGGTCTCATAGGCGGGTTCTCTGCAGTCCAGGCCCAAATTTCTGGTGTGGAACCAGTTAGACAAATTCATAACTTCACAATTTATAAAAATTTACAATTGTTGAGTCAACATACTGCAACCTTGAAAAAAGAATATTTTTCAAATAGATTCAGATTAAAATATGGTTGGAGAACAGTGCTTTAGAGAGTGTCAGTGAAAAGAGGGAGAGAAACAGAAATTGGACCTGGAGGTGCTCTGCAGGAGTCACCAACTTCCTGGGAGCAGAGAGTGAAACAGACCTTGCCCCTCCCAAAGTCTCCAAGGTGACAGTGGGCGGGAGAAGGTGTCCTATACCACCCTCTGCCCTGCTGAGGCAGCCAGAATGGAGCGTTCTCTGGTGGTGCCACATTTGCATGGAAAATCTATTCAGTATTGCAGCTTATTTCCAAACAGACTAGTGTGAGGAGCCAGAGGTTAAGTAAGGACAAGAAACAGAATTGTACCTACTCACTTTCTGTCAGGTCTGGGACCTTGCCCTCCTGGCACTAAAAAGACTGGTGAGAATGTCTTTTGGCTGCAAACTCAGCAGGAGGGCGAAAATGGAAACAGCCACACCTCACTTCAGACTGCTCACTCCCACTGGAGGTTGGTATCTCACGCCTGCCCTCCCCTAAGGGGCCCACGTTTAGAGTTCAGCTGAATGTGGCCTGTGCTAGGACTTCGCAGAGGGCGCGTGGGTGTGTGGCACTTCGCCCCCGTCCCCCTGGCGCTTCCTGTGCTCGGAGGGAGGGTGCAACGTGACAAGAACACGGAGACTGGGGCTGGTGGGAGGATTAAATGGAACCATATGTAGAACAAAGCCTGGTACACTGAGGGAGGAGACACTGAGTTCCGGAAACACTGTGGTGACTGTCCTGCCAGGCAGTATGTGCCGGGAAGTGTCGAAACCAAGCAGCCGGGATCCACGAGAGTGTCAGGATGGTCCGTGCAGCGGGGGAGACATCAGGAGGCCGGGGTGGGAAGTTTACAGCTCTGTCACTAGCTCTAGCAGCTGCAGGGCCTTGGGCAAGATACTTGATCATTTTAAGCCTCCAGCTCCTCATCTCTAAATGAGAGTGACCCTCTTATTGGACTATTAAAGTTCGTACAGTATCTGAGAAAATATTTGGTATGTGGGTAGCTGTTGCCATTTAAAAGCTAGAAGTAGAGAATACAAACACAGGTAATGTGGGTGAAGCCGCGGAGTTAGTGACGGCCAAAGAGTTGAGGGCAAGTGGAATTGCATCTCCTAACCTTCAAAGCTGCACTTGAAGCTCACTTGAGTCATAGGCACCCAGAACAGTAACTACCGCAGAGGACTCAGCAAATGTTTGTGAATGGATCCCGAAATTGAATTGTGTCTCCACCCCTCTCCCCAAGCCTGCAGCAGTACTTGCATTCTCCAGCTTATTAAACACTTCATTATCACCCTATTTCCCAAGCTGAAAACGCTGGAGGTGACTGAATCCCCTCCCTTCCCCTGTACTTCTAAGAAGTCGCTGCTAGGTTCTCAGAAGACGCCTCCTGGATTTGTCCACTCCCTCCGAGCTCTGTCTGGGTGGATCCTTGCTGCTCAGCAGCTGCAGCAGCCTGTTATCTGTCTTCCCCGCCTGGAGTGCAGTAAGCAGGCGGCAGATAAGCTGGAGCCCAGTCTGGAGGACAGCTACAACTGTCTGACTTCTTGCCCTAGTATCCTAA